GGACTCTCTGAGTGGATAGGGACAATCCCTTATCCTATTTGCTGATCTAAATCCTAGAATTGCCCCTCTTTAATTAATCTAGTTAAGCCAATTCGAATTGGGCTTTAGGCCCATTAAGTCTATGTGCTCACTTATCCTCCAAACTGCTACCCAGTTGGATATCCTTGTATTGTGTGAGACCCAAACATTGATCTACACATCAGCCACATGGGTTCAGCCCAACTTTTGTTACAAGGCCTGGCCAAATTCACTGTAGGAGATAGTGAACCCCTGAGCCCATCACCATGGGCTCTTAATGGGCCCAACATTTACACTAAATGGTCCCTAGGTCAAGCCACCTTATAAAAACCTAAGGATTGGGGGCAGATGCAAGATTAGCCCATCAGGTATTACCCTCAATGGGCTTACACTTAACCTCTTAGCCCATAATGATCAAACACTGTTTGACAAGAGATGACCTCTCCCTCGACTGCAAGGTACAGTGCTGCACTCTCTACTCACATGGATTCCAGGAATTAAAACCTTTTGCAAACATTTTGAAACCATAATATATATATATATATATATATATATATCTATATAAATATATTTTGCAAAACAAATTTCAACGGTTGAAATCAACTACCGGCAGCTTTGGTTTCCATTAGAAAGAGTGCATCCCTGATCATTCACTTTGTCTGACAAAGGGGCTGATCCTGTCACTATGATTACCCACTCAGATGAATTCTTGGACTGTCCCAACATACCTAGGTTTTGACCCCCTCTAAGGATCTCACTGATTGGCATATCAAAGACAGCCCAATCTGACACCTAGTGCAATATCATAATCGAGTTTAGGGGTCAAGTGTAACATTCCAGTTTTCCCCATCTTTTTCCAAGGTCTAGGGCAATACTGGAATTCTGGTCCGATTTAGGGTTTCAAGAAAACCTACACTGCATGTACCTCAGGTCTCACCCTGACAGCTGAGACAAGCTACCCCAACCAACTTGGCGGCGCATCAGTGTCAGCCTTGACAGGATAAATCTCCCCAGATCTATCCAACGACTGTGAAGGTTCTAAACTAACATGAGTCTCATATGTGTCCAATTTAAGGGTATTACACAGAAACACACCATAATAACATGATTCAAATATGTACTTTATTCATTTACATTAAATGCCATAATGTACATCATTCTGATTGGAGCTAAGGGCATACACTCTCTAACAACTTACTATCATGTACAACTTTTATGAGAGTTTTCTAGTAGTGGGAACAAGTTCAAAGAAGCTTAAATGAGATACTGGGATGGATGGTGTGCTTTGTGGTTTCAAATCTTGTAGCTGAAGACACAGGGGCAGATTCAAACTTTGGGATTTCAAGTAAAATGGAGACATTACAGAGGGTGGGAGAATTGTTCTTTTCTCCTCTTCTTCTCTTTTAGATCTCTCTCTTTCTAGTTTTCTCTCCCCCTCTCTCTCTAGGGACCACCTTTTGATTTGGATAAGTATTTATAGAGAAATGGAGAGGAAGAGATCTAAAATTCATCCAATCACAATGCTTGGGCTTCAAGAAAGCTTTTTCATAAAAATAGGTAAGGATTCTTTAAAGAAAAAGGTGCCTAATCAGGACTTCTTCTTTGGTGAAATGTTTTCTTCAAATTGGGGGTGGTTTTCACAAGTTTCATGTGTCCAACGGGAGATTGTGGCGTGCCTATCATGGCAATCTTGTATTTAGGGCTATCAGAGGCAGAAAATGTAAATTTAATGAACTTTTAAATGTAGTTTTGTCATTTCATAGCTTTAGGTGGTGGTATCTTTGGGTTTTTTTTGGTCTATTAGGATCAATTTCATTGATCTAAGTGTTTGAACAAGTCAAGAATGGATTTGACATCAATCATCACCCTTTTGAGGTTTTAGGTTGGGACATATGAGGTGGCGATTCGATTTGCTGCATCAAAATGACATTTTATTAGTTTAACAGTTAAATGGGTGAATTTAGGGTTTTTTGGGTCTTTGAACGTAGTGGAGAAGTCTGATTGGCCAAATGAAGTTGGGATGATAGATGATAAGATTTAATAAACGAGATTTGTTGAAATAGGATCTAAGCTTGATGGTGGGTCAAACATGTGAGTTTTAGAATGAAATTTGGCGGATAGGCATGAATTAAGGTGAGGAGTCAAATTGATGGTTCTGATCTAAAAGAGAAATGGTTAATCTAGGTTTTCTAAATCAGGGCCGTCGGAATAGAATTTTGGCACTTCCAAGGTTGATCGTTGTAGAATTGTAGTGGGATTCACTAGTTGATTGTATCCTAATGGTCTTGAAGCGATGGATGCGTTGAATCAGGGCTGTTAGAAAGGAAGTTGGCATGATGAATGGTGGATGTGTGACTAATTTATAGTTTCCTACGTCTATAGGTCATATTTGATTGTACGTTGATGTTAATATCGAGATTTTCATTTGTCTTGTGGATTGTGTCAAGGTAGGGTATTTCGGGTTTTGGAAAGTCTTAAATTGATCTAATTGTTTTTCCAAGTTTTAGGGTCTAAAAGTAGAGTACAAAGAGGTATAGTGAAGGGATCGAACAAAAATTGGGTGCTGATAGTGAGTATATTTGCATTTTAAGTTTTTGAGCATTTACCATCTCAAGAAGGTTATTAAAACTAGTTTAATTGTCAAAACATGGTCGGTTTTGCTGAGTTTGGACCGGCTATACTGGTTTTTTAGAAATTTGAAACCTAGGGTTCTAAAAATCTGGAATGGCCCCCTGGTCCAAGTCTTAAAATATTGTGATAAACCCTTACTAGCTAGTTGCTTCTCAACCTCTCTCTCTCTCTCACGGTTCTGGTTCCGAGACAATTTTTAAAACATTGAGCTAAAGTTGTTATTTTTATTTCTAATGAGAAATTGCCATAGAATTTGATATTTAGCTTATATAGGTTTATGTGTCAGAACAATTAATATTTTTATTGATACTTCTTTATTTATTTCAAGTGTTTGAAAGCAAGGTTGATATGTCAAATTTAGGCTCAAATTCAAACTCACAAGTTTGAACTTGCAAGTTTGACTAGCTTTTTGAACTTTTGGGGTGAACCTCAAACTTATTTAGTTAAATCACTCTTGAACAGAAAAAATGAAGGTTGAATCAAACTTGAACTCGAATTCAAACATACGATATTTTAATCAAATCGAGCTAGAACATGATAAAGTTCCGCTCACTCAGTTTAATTGCACCCCAAATCAATATCTAACTAGATTTCCTGCTCACTTTCTCTATCAACACCCTCACCCTAATATGAAGTCACTACGTGTCCTAACTCATTGGTGTATCGATGGTTTGAAAATGGATTGTACAATACATACATCAATACTTTCAACCTTTGTCTGCAATAACTACTATGAGGATGTTTGGTTTTATGGGTGTTTTCTCAATAAACACCGCCACATCAGCGTTGGCATTTATTGGGTATAAAACCACTGTTTAGTTTCATCATTTATCGAATAAACTCAGATAAATGTTTATATATTGATTTCTGTGGACGGAACTGTTAGGGGAAGCGTTAAATTCTCACTTCCCCCAACGAAACATTGAGCTTAGCTGGTGTTGACGTGTTTGCTGATGTGGCATGTCATGTTTCTGATCCAGTTTGAAAGGTATGTCTTGCAAATTTGTGTTTGAATGTTTCAAAAATGGCATTGGTGTGAGATTGTTATTCCTACATTGGTAGCTCCACTGCCATTAATGGAGTGAAGCTTCCTTTTCCTTGGGAAAAAAAAAAAGGACCTCACCCAAAATGGTGATGTTGTGCCTGGTTCGGTAAGTATTTCCACAACACCATTGTCTAACTCTAAGTAGAAATTTTTTTTCTTACTGTATGCTCAGTTGATCAACCATAAGTAGTTGGGACCAAGGCTTAGATGAGTTGAGGAGAAAAAAGGGATAATTTGCATATAAGATAAACCTTAGATATCAATTTCAGACTTTGAGGACCAATACAAGTCATTTTGACCGTTGGATGTGGCTTGCATCCAAGATCCACCGTTGGATCTCAAAATAGGCCATTATGTGCAAGCATGAATAATTTGGATCTTTAGATCGGCTGAATGACACCCAAATACCAAATAAAAGCGTCACACTGAATCACCCATATGGTTGTTTGTTGAAACACCCCACCAAACAGCCAACCATGAAAACATGTTTATTATTGCTGAATTGGAAAGTACCTTTATGGGCTGCTTCTTGAACGCCCAAAAACTGACCAACAAAACAACTTTTCCAGATAAACATTTATATGATAAACGCCTCCAATATACAGCAAAACGAAAAAGAATGGAATCATTCATCTTAATTAGCAAAAATAATGATTCCATTCTTCATATGACGTTAGATTTGGTTACATGGAAGCAAACAAAGGAAATGGACCTTGGGCCCAATAGATTGATTGGATGTCTCCCACCTCGTGCTTTAGCTGTGTAAAAGATGCAATTTTGTCATTCAAAGTTCAAGAAAAAAAAAAAACCATTACCAATGATGATCCAAAGCTATCCAGAGGGTCTTGGCTGGGAGGGACGGATTGGGTGCAGATACTTGCGAGTCCAAGATTTTTTACTTGTCACGGTATAAAAGTCGTCTATTTTGGTGTATGGATGATCCTATTTGATAATAATGGGTTCTGATCCTTGAATCATGCAACCCCATTCACGGCCTATGGATCAAGAATCAATTACATACCCCCCTTGAAAAGTGGCATCAAGTGACTGGTTTTGGGCCAACCCAAAATTTTAAGTCTATTAATTACTCTATTATCTATGCTGATTAACCACAGACGCTAACTAGGCTGGGCCAGAAATTGGACAGGTTCTGGTGCAGTAGTGCTTAGTTTACTAGAAATTTTGGCTCTGCTTGGCCCGTTATCTCTTAAACCAGTCTTTGAAGTTTGAACTAGCGTATTGGGCCGTGAAATGATTGGGCCCCGTAGGTTTGTTTTATATAAAGCAGATGGTCTTTTATCTTCTTGGATTTTTCATTTTTTTGGTAGATGCCTCTATTATCACTCAGTCCGAGTTGAACGAAAGACTGAGGAACACACACACACACACAGAGATAGAGAGAGCGCTCAATAGTGGTATTATGCGGTTGAATGGCCATTCGAAGCTTCAAACTATATTAACAGAATTAATAACCACTATGACATAGAAGAACAACCAGATGAGATAATAACAATAATCATTAATTAGCCTGAGTAGGCTAGGGTTGATTGCTTATGCGAATGACGGATCTAAATCTAGAGTTGCAGGAGGCAGGTTGGGAGGAATTGAGGAAAGAGGCCAGAAAGATTGAGGGTGATCTTGATGTCAAGCTCTCTTCCTATACTAAGCTCGGAGCAAGGTTTACCCAAGGAGGTATGTCTTCTTGATCTATTTCCTTCAATCCGTGTTTCTGTAAAACATAAATTAGATTTTCTTCAAGATTAAATTCCAATGGCTGCACATGATTATTGGAACGTTTTAGTGTCGGGTAACGGGATTTGGAAATAGTTGGATCCAAATGGGGAGATCAAAGCTGGTGTATTGGGGCTTTTTTGTGTTTTAGTTGGTGGTATAAATCTGGTTAATATCATATGCGGGTATGCGATTCAGATTACATCGTTTTATCGGGATAAATCTATCTAACAAATTCTAATGGATCAATCCAGTGAATGACTTAGGAATAAGAAAAAGATTTTCCACGTGAAATTGGATCACTGGGCATGAGTTAATGCCTACATTTTACATGTATTCCCATTCGCGCCGAAGATTATTTGGAACCCATTAATAGATTCCTCTATGATACGATAGAGTTGTTCTTTTACTTAAAAACCTCTATATTTTGCAAACCAATTTAGTTAACCTTGTCGGAAAGAAAATATATGAAAAATCTCTCATGAAATCTCAAAAGAATAGTGAACTTTTAGACATGAAAATTGAACTGATCAGAGATCTAGTTCACTGCTATATGCTACTCAATTAGAAAGAAATGAAATAAAAAAAAAGGAAAAGGGGAATTAAAGAAAATAGTTAGTTTATATACGTTATTATAGTATTTAGTTTTAGTAAATTAAAGCTTCAGCTGGGCTTGGTTTATTATGGCGGTCTTTGGCATCGTTGCCATTTCTGAGAAAACGGTGCCATGTAGGCACCACGTCAGAGAAAACAGTTCTGGAAGGAACGCCCTCTTGTTTGCTACCGTTTTCTCAGAAAAAAAAAAACATTGCTCCAGAGTCCAGACCACACCTTGGAAAATGGGAAAGTGTGGTCTGGAGCAATGCAAAATTTGATGTTTTCTGGGAAAACCGTGCATTGCTGCCAATGATGCAATGACATGGCATCAATGTGGCATAATCTTGGACGTTGGATAATAAGATCAATGTTGAAAACGTTGCTGCTAGCACTGGTACTAAACAAAAATAGTGCTGTTTTCTCAAAAAAAAGCCTATGTGGCAGCACCGGTTCCAAACAAAAAATAAGCAGTGTTTTCCACTGGTACCAAACAAAATGGTGCTTACAACTCCACCTGCCCAGAACCACTTTTCTCAGAAAACGGTGTGATGTTCCCAGCACCAATGTCAAACACCTACCATGTAAATGGCATTGCTTTTATAGGAGGTTATATTAATTTATTGATACTGCTTCTTGTTCACAATTTCAAGCTTGAGCTGTTTAGAGTGCTTTACTGGTTGTTGACCATTATGTTTATTGTATTAATGTTTCAGGCTATGCAGATACTGGGTCACCAACTCTTGGGTCCAGCAGATCCTGGAAGTCTATGGAAATGGAGATTCAATCTTTGCTTGAAAAGCTACTTGATACCAATGATGCCATGAGCCGATGTGCAGCATCTGCAGCACCTACTACCTCTGTAACACAGAAACTAGCAAGGCACAGAGATATACTTCATGAGTTTACTCAGGTTTGTTTACCTTTGCTTTTCTTCCAGAGTGTTTATAGTAATTAGGTTCTTAATATTTTCTCAACACTTATAATCCATAACTCCAAATCCCAAAGCCTTCAATTATCTAACTGAAAGTTAAAATAAATTCCCTTAAGCCTGAGCTCAAGGTTCAAAGTATCCATGGGATACACAATTTTTGTGTATTGCACATTTCCAATGGATGATACATTTCCATTAAAAGATATTTAAGTTTCAGGAATTGAGCCAGGACATCTCCAGGAAGCATATTATCCATCAAAAGTGGCCAGATGTCCAAACTCTCTGTGTTTAGCATATTGGTGACCCTGAAAACGGAAAACCAATAAATATCAGTCAATATGTACCTATATGTTGCGATATTTTGAACCCTCCCTGATCGTAATTTTCCAAAATTTAGTTGTCTTTGCTTAATCTTCCATATCAGTCATGCATTAATTGGTTTCAGAGGGTATTTAGATAGCAAAGAAACTTCAACAGCTTAACCTGGATTTTGTGAGATGTATCACACTTTTAACTCAACAATGGCTGTATGTATGCATAAACTTTTTTGTTGGGGATGGGCTTTAAAGTATTTGTTTACTGTTATATGTCCTCTAAGATATAGCTGTAATTCTTTTTAATGAAATCTTTTTCTCTTTCTACTGTGTGTGTGTGGGAGAAGGGGGAGGGGGAGGGAGAGGGAGAGGGAGAGATGTTAATTGTGATTGAAAGGATTACAACTAACATGAATGCTAGATGAGAAGAAAGAAGATACAATCAGCTCGACCAACTGCAAGAACCACGAGCCCCAAACACCACTTTACAAACCAAGAAAAACAAGGCCAAACAAAAAGACAGGCCCAGAACCAAAAAAGCTTATACAATCTATTGACAAAAAAAAGAGACCCCCAACCTCACCACAAGCTATCTTCTCACTACACACAATCTGCCTCTACCACCTCTTCCCTACCTTTAGTGCTTTTGGACCCCCTTGTTGCCTTCTTGGTATCACTTTTGACTTTTCCAATGCCAGAATCAAGGAAAAGGTCCTTTGATTCCTTTGACTTTTCAGAATCAAGGAAAAGGTCCTTTGATTCCTTTGACTTTCTAGAGCCCGGAATACCCCTAAATAGTAGACCATCTTGCCATCACTGTCAGCAGTCCTTTGATTCCTTTGACTTTTCCAAAGGGGTCCTTTCATCCATCAGGTCATACCACGATTGTTCAGAACGCTTTGGCATCGAATACTTCTGTTCTAACTCAAGGAAAGTCTTGTGGGCCCATTCATCCCCATCACGAAACAAACATCAATCCCGAACTCTTTCCAACCTGCAAATCCGTTTCCACTTTGCTCTAAGCTACAAGGGTTGGAAGAAGTATCACATAGAATAGATGGAGAAGTTGGCACAAGGGATCAGTCTGAGTGGGTTGCAATCCCTTCCACAGAATTCCCCTCCTCTCTCCCCAAGGCACTGCTATCCAAGATTGAAGGAAAACTTGAACCTTGCTCTAAAGGTCTCTCTAATTCCACAGAGAACCAAACCCAACCATTATGTGAATTCTTGCAGGAGATCTTCAAGCCAGATGCTTTATAGATAGTCTTGGACCTACTCAAAAGCTTTAAATTATAAGAAAGGATCGTTTGGGTCCTTGAAATATTAATTTATTTCACCATCTGGTTTCTTTCTAGTTTATCTCAAGTATTCTTACTTATCAACAATAGTCAATGTATCTCTCCTTGTTCAAGCACAGCCATATGATAAATTTTAAACCAACATCCTCTCTCAATGGGTGGCACAAACCACTCAGAAACTTAAGATTCATTTTGTTCTCCTATAAAAGATGAATGAAGACAAAACCCCAATAGAACCCCATACACCTGCACCATGTCAGAATCCAGTACAAATCAGACAACTCCAAAGTTTCCTCACCTTCCTCAATATTCTTTTTAGCTTCTTTTCATGGCAATCAAGTTGGCTCATCATGATACACTGAATTCTTCTTTGCTAACTGGGATATTTTGCATGATTCTTCTAGTCTTTTTTTTTTCATAAAATTCTTTTATACTGTTTTATGAGTTGATTAAGGTCACCTTCAGTGTCTTTGAAGAGAAATCTGTTTCTATAGGAATTTAGACGAATCAAGGGAAATATAAACTCCATGAGGGAGCATGCTGAGCTTCTAAGTTCTGTGAAGGATGATATAAGTGAACATAAGGTGAACAAGATTTTTTTTATTTACTTGATTCCATTTGATTATCTCTTGATAGTTTTGTGTTATTTATTTGTTTTCAATAGTACCTACTAGTTTTCCATCTTATTGGTTCTAATTTGATCCAGATGTCTGGGAGTATCTCACCAAGAGCAAATTTATTAAGAGAGAGAGCTACTATACATGGAAGTATAGCTCATGTAAGTCCAAATACTCTTTCATTTCTTAATATTTCTTATTTCCTACCATTGTCCTGATAGGTTTTCTACTCTGCATGTCTTCCGGTATTGCTCTGTATGTCTTCATATCAACCAACCTACTTTTCTAGCATTTCTCATATTTACAACAACCTACAGGTCACATTCTTGGGCTTCAATTTTGTTGGAATATAATGTTCTCTGTAGCATATATGGAAGGTAGTTGTTCTACAATGTGCATTGATTGGTTTTTAGCCATTTCTTTATTCACAGAATATAGATTACCCAAATGAAGCACTCAAATTGTGGTTTTAAGTCTTTCAATCAGTCAGTCTAGAATCTGAATTTGATCAAGTATGTTTTAAAGGTAGCATCTGCATGACAGGCTTATAATGCTCCTTCAGTATCATTGCTACAACATTTCATGGAAGATTAAAAAACCTTACTAATCTATGTTCGTTGGGGAATGACTAGGAGTAGGAGCCCTGATATCATGATTCATTCTTCAAGAAGTAACCCGTTATTCTGAAATATCCAGGTTTTTTTCTGGTGTTCACCCCAACTATTGTTGTTCTTCAAGGTCTAAAGGTTTCTAGATCACTTTCCAGAGTCAGAAGTTATAGATTGTGATCTGAAAAATGCTGTAGTTTGAGACAAAGCAAATACTTCCCAGAGGTTTTATCAATCTGGTTGACCAAAAAGGGTTTTAGCTAAAGATTAGCAGTAAGGGATTGGAGGCAGCATGAAGGATTCCTTGTTGGAGAACCCTTTAGATAGGCCAAACATATGTACCCATCTCATCTCCAGAATTTCTAGTGGAAATGTGTCATAAAATAATACAACTCTCCTTCACCGGAAAAAGGCAAATCAGACCTCTCATTATCAGCCTTTATTTTTTCCCTTGAAAATGAGTTCAATGAACACAAAGCAAAATTGACCCAGACCAACAGCATGCCAGGCCCAACACTCTGATCTTTTTGGGATGGGTCGTTTTATAATCTATGTATTGGTCTTCTTTTGGCCTTGGTGCATTTATAGGTTCTCTTTTGTCTGTTTATAAATTCTATCTTTTACCATAAAAAAATGAGCTCAATGAATATTCCTACTTGCCTTGAAAAACCTTCTTGAAGATAGCAATCATAGAAATAAAATAAATGTAAGCATGTTCCCATGTTGCACTTGATTAATGCCATCCATTTTATGAAACAAGACTTTTCCATATACACAATATATCATCTAATTGGCCAGCTAATTTATAATGCCTACTGTTAGTTAAAAACAAATATTCAATGGCATTCTTGTTTTGCAGCCAACAATTGGTGAAAGGTTTCATACCTCTAGTTCTGTATTTAAAATCAATTTATGTTTGATAAAGAATAGCATTCAAATATTTTGGGAACCAAATAAACTGAAATAAACAGAATCAGTTCTAATATGCCTTATAAGCATGAAAAGAACCACAAGGAAATCTTGAGAGCATAAATCAATCTCTCGCAAGAAATGTTGAGTATTTCTAACAGAGTTGTGGAATCAGCTAATTATTAACCATATTAAAAAAAGTGAAAGCTGTACCACACGGTAAACTGTAATACTGCCCAAACTACTTGTATGTCAAGATTGTTTAAGAGCGTGGAGGGAAAATATTAAATACCCGGGTAACCAGTCAACCCTGATGTCTTATTGCATAATATTAAATCCAAGTCTACACAGCACAAGAAGTGAGTAGCATAAACTGCGTACTCTATGGTGTTTATTAAATGCATTTTGCAGAACGGCACACCTAAGGCTTCCTCTTTATCCTACTTTAGATGTTTAACGGTTAAGTAGCAACCTCAAATCTTTAATGCTATCGTTCTTGCTTAAGGTTTTCAAAATTTGCTAATTAAACTAGTTACAAACTTGCAGTTATATGGGTTTCTCAATGTTGAGGTTTCTCGTTTTGATGGCCTGTTTGTTTTATTTAACTTTTTGGTAGGTAAATGGCTTATTTATTTGATTAGGTTTGTCCATCCCTTTTTCTTAATTCGATGATTGATAAGGTAAGTAGTAAATGATGTAACCGTTTCTGGTCACGTACCATTTTTTGTGATGTATAAATTTTTTTGGCTAAGTACCTCGTTATTTGACCCAGTGGTGACGTGCCTTGGTGATGAGCTACTTGGTGGCGAACTCCCTGGTGGAGAACTGCCTAGTGGCGAGCTCCCTGGTGGAGAGCTACTTAGTGACGAACTGCTTGGTGGCAAACTCCCTGGTGGAGAACTGCCCGGTGGCGAGCTTCCTAGTGGCGAACTGCCTGGTGGCGAACTCCCTGGTGGCGAACTGCTTGGTGGCGAGCTCCCTGGTGGACTCGTCATTTGACCTGCTCCTAGGCGGCCTGCAACTCAGAGGACGATGGAGCTCCCTGGTGCAGCACAACCCGGCTACCCTCTGCATGAGGTAATTTCCTCTCCTTTGTAGGCGGCGGGAGCTGAGGGACCTACGAGAATTGAATCAGAGGACCCAGGGGTATTTTCCCGGCAGGGACTCTCCGATGCCTAAGTTAGCATTCTGATTACARAGAGCTTGGAGAGAAATGAGAGAGCTAGAGAGCAGGGGTTACCATCCTTTTTTCCCCTCCCCCTCCCCTTTGGGGGGTGAGGTCTTTATATACCGGAGTCCTCGYRRGTTAGGTGGGTGAAAAGCCTCCAAACGGTAAGACTCGTCACATCCCGTCAGAACCGGGGTACGGTGGTGAACTCCTCAAGGTCGTCAGGCTGACGCTTGTGTCAGGCGGCCAGGTCGGCGCCTGGGCCAGGTTGTCAGGGCGACGCCTGCGTCAGTCGGCGGGTCGGTGTTTGGGCCAGGTTGTCAGGTCGGCGCCTGTGTCAGTCGGCGGGTCGGTGTCTAGGCCAGGTTGTCAGGTCGGCGCCTGTGTTAGTCGGCAGGTCGGTGTCTAGTCTAGGTTGTCAGGCAGGAGATCTTCCTGCGATACGCCAAACTACTCCTGTACCGAGCTACCCTACAAGTGGCGAGCTGCCCGGGGGAGATATGTCGAGCTGCTTGTGGCGAGCTCTGCCGAGTTGCCTGGCTCTTTGGTGAGCTCTGGTGAGCTACCGAGATCCTTGGCGAGCTCCTTGGTGAGATACCGAGCTCGGGGGGTATGCATATCGAGTTTATCGGTGGGCGTCTTATGGGAGGCTAGGTCGGCCAGGTCGGATTATGTGCCAGGCCGATCCAGGTCAGCCAGGTCGCGCAGGCCGTGCGCAGGCTGTGCCTGGTCGCGGGCAGGCCGCGTGTAGGCCATGCCAGGTCGCGCGCAGGCCGCCCGTAGGCCGTGTGCAGGTCACGCCAGGCCGGCCAAACCGGTGCCCGGGTGGGACACCAACTTGGTAAGTTGTTGCCTGGGTGTTTAACTAGTTGTCACGAGATGCCACGTGTCGCAATTTCATTGGAGGGCCAAATCTGCCCTCATCAGTAAATTTTATTGATTAATTTGCCCATTTGCATGGAACTGAATTATTTATTTAAGCACCATAAATTTGTGTGAAAACCTTGTTTGAGCAAAATTATCAACTATCGGCTAATGTTAAAGCAGCATGAAATGCCTGTTACCTGTCAATTTTACACTTTGGTTCTGGGCAGATTGATGATGTGATAAATCAAGCTCAAGCTACTAGGTCAGTTTTGGGCTCCCAACGATCTTTACTTGGAGATGTTCAAGGGAAAGTCAAGCAACTAAGTGACAAGTTCCCCGTCATCCGTGGCCTTCTTGGTATTTTGCATCTCCATTGATTCATGTATATAACAAGAAACCCTACTAAAGTTACTAATATTTGCATCTCAACCTTGCAGGTGCCATTAAGAGGAAGCGATCTAGAGATACTCTCATTCTCTCTGCTGTCATTGCAGGTTGCACATTGTTCCTGATTATATACTGGCTCTCCAAATAAAAGAATCATGTTTCAGAAATTTTGCCTTCACAATGTGTTCAAAACAAGATGGAGACGGATATCCGTTGTCCGGACGTCTTTTGAGTTTTGACAGTTGAGTTTATCCATGAACTGAATTGTTGTATAACAACAGTACCAAGGATAATGAATTTGCCACTTAATATTGTATTTGTTCCGACTACTTCGCATCACTGAGCCCGTTCCGATAAACAGTCTTTGTGGTGGGGCACTCTGCATTTGCATAGGGGATGATGAGGTCCTATAGGCACCAAGGCTCTTCCCACAAACTTATTAAACATGTTCTTGCGCCTAGCCAATAGGATTCTCATCCCATTTGCATATTTGCAGAGCCTAAGATGTATAGTAGTACATCCTAATATATCACACACCCGCCTCCTAAATAAGTTTTATATCCAATATTAAAATAATAGCATACATCACAAAGCAAATCTAATCTGGTTTCCTAATCCTAAACAATAAAAGTCCCATTATTCTAGATCCAAAGCGTGTTGCTTACTTAAACACAAACTAAACCTAATTATTAGTCTCCCAAATGTATAATGATCTGTATTATATTATAATACCCCGTGCATGGATAATTAACTAGTTTTAAACCAAAATACTCTCCATCTCTTTGTTCTTTTATGCATTCATTCTTCTCTAAAGTCACATTCACCTTCTCTAGGTAACTTTTATTTCACTCTTATTTTTTTTCCTTTTATTTCGATGGTTTACCAAGTTACCTGTCATACCCTTGTTGCAAAACAAAATCACCCTTACATGTTCTACCTTTTACTATGCTACTCAATTATCCCACGTAATAAAGTTGTTTCTTTTACATTGGCATGCACGACGCTAGAAACATATAGAAGGAAAGTGATTTGGGCACATCCGTGATCTCTTTAAGAGTGAGAAACTGAGAAACCTGCTTATTACTCAGGAATTATATGTTTGAAAGACAAACAAAACGAACCCTATGCATTGGTTATAACTAGTACTGGAAAGTGTTCTTCGGTACCATCTCTCTAGAGTGCCTTTTTTTTGGTTGAAAAGATGAAATTCATTAGAAACAAGATAAAACATCTCCCCAAAGGAGCTACAACCAAGACCACGGACAGAAGAAAACGAAGATAAAAGTACCCTACACACAAAAACAAAAGAAACCAACAACTACAAGATTAACCCAAAGCAACATCAACTGAAAACGTAACTATGTGATGATCTTCAACCAAAACATTTGAAAGTCGGTCTGGAAACTCTTCTGTGAGAATTGCCGAGCTAGTAAGGCCTTTCTGGACAGCAAGATGAACCGCTTTGTTCTGGTTTCTGCTCTAGGGGTGTCTCTGTACCATAGAATTTATAATTATTTAATTAACACTTCCAACAAGAAAGAACTGGATGATGCAAATAATATTCAAGAAAATTATGAGTTCTATAAATTGCACAATATTTGTATCTATCACCATAATTGGAAGGAAGCTATTGATCATAGGAATCTATGACAGTTCACAAACTGGATTTGAAGCTTAAGGCAGAATTGATCCTTTACCATTTTTAAGTCATTAAGGTGCTGTTTGGCAAGTCTTTTTAGGAAGATCTTTCAATAGATCTAACAGCCAAAAGACATGATGAGCTTTTGCATATAGATCTTGAAAGACCAAAGACTGTTTGGTTGAAACATTTTTCATAGATCTTCTGAAAACTAGAAAAGCTGAAAGACCGCTTGGCTGCTATCATTCAAACCCCAACTTTCAAACTATCAATTCAGACCCCTAAATCTTCAACATTCGAATCCCAACATTCAAGCCCAACAAATATTTCACAAAATATTTCAAAATACTTAACAATCCTAAACCCTTGCGAGATTATGATGAATGATGCAAGAAACATAGGTGATTCAATGTTGACTATACCTGTGGCACCAAAATCCTTGTTTTTGGTCACTGTAGCAATGTTCCTTAGATGGGTTCTCTGCAAATTTGAAAACGATCAGGTCACAAAGAAGAAAAAAGAGACCAAAAAAAGGAAGCAGGAGGAAGAGGAGGAATATGGTAGAAGAGGACATACCTGAACGTTGAAGGTTCCATTTGGTTTGCTTAAGACTCCAAATGTTTTGAGAAATGATGGTATAATGTCAAAATGGCATGTTCATTCTGCAAGCGTGTGCATCTGGCACATGAACAATGAAGCTATGAGAGGGACAAAAGGGTGAGAAAAATATGTGAATTTGGACTTCCAGGCTTTCAAAAGCCCAGAAGCCCACAAAAAAAGGCTTGCCAAATACGGCCTAAGTTAATATGTGGCATTTTGAACTGTCAATTTGATTCTAGATCAGTTGTATCACTTCCTAGTACTGCCAAAGAAACCTCTTGGTGATATTTCCTCTGATGGGTGAACCATCTCCAAAGGTGACTCAGTTCCTGATTACTTTTGGTAGACAAAACCAAGGAACTTCTATCTTTTCATTTGCTTACCAACAAAAAGATAAATCAGTTACTAATCAAGTACCAGACAAGTTTCATACTAAATCTAAGGTCCACATTTCTCAATCTCACAGCAAGGCAGAAATCTTTTGATGTGTCAGGTGTTTTGTAGCCTGGAGGCGCCTATTTTGTGAAATGTTTCTGTATAGGTTTAATGGAAGCGACATCCTCAGGTAGGAATTGTTGGTTGGTCTGTTTTGTGAAAGGTTTGTGTGAATGAGATTGTTAGTTGCAACTCTTTTTGTGGAAGCTTACCTAGACAGTACAATGCATGGGATTACAGGTGAATATTCTTACTAAATGTTCACAAAAATATGTTTATTCATGTGGAACTAAACATAGTTTGAGTGCTGAATAAGGTTGAATAACATGAATCAACAGTATCTAAAAGTTGTTTGAAATAATTTAGTATTGCTACCAAACTCATCTCAGTTGAATAAAAGCATAAAACTAAAAGGGATATACCACTCTCAAAAACAATTAAAAGATCTATTGAAGACCTTGAAAATAAATTTCTCTGATTGCACTTTATGAATCTCCAAGGGAAATGGAAGAAAGAATATGAAAAATTATTTGGTAAAACAATAATCCTCATAAATCTAAAGCTTAGCTACAAAGACTGATTACTAAAAAATAGATAAAGATCATTTATTATTCTATTCTTATGTGTTAATGGAGTTGTATCTGGTGTATCATAACTTGTAAGGGATTTGCCTTTTCTATTAATTCCTACTCCAAATATAGAACTTCATAGATCAGCACCATTTGATACATCATTCTTGGCATTAGAGCCTCACAAAGGCTGCATGTAAAATGAAGGAAAAGAAATGATTTCCTTGGAAAACGATATTCACTAGAAAAACAAATCACCTTCCTCGTGTCTCTGATGTTTCATTTAACTTGCAAATAAACTTGGATGATTGAGAAGTATACAAGTGAAGTGAGATATGAATTGGGAGAACCCACCTCTGTTCATAATGTCATTCTCCTGGAAATCATTCATCTTCATTTTATTGCAACCAAAGAGAGCCTCAGTTACTGAAGATTCTTACCATTTGCATGGTAGAAAGCATATGAAAAAGCATGAGAAAAAAGGGAGTCCTAGATGGATCCCATGTGGTTTAACATTGCAGGAATTGGAAATTGGAGATTAAAATAAAACGTAGAGACCACCTTGGTCTGAGGAAGATCTAAAATAGCATCACAAATATTAATATTCAATGATTGGGCCTTCAAGATCACCGCATGTGAGTATGAACCCAAAGAGAACAACATTTGCAAAGTTAGTTTCATTAAGAATCTGGATAGGAAAAATAAGAATCATCTTTATAATCATGGCCAACCTATGTCAACCAAATTAGAAGAAATGAGCTGATCAATATTCACGTCCCAGTTACCACATTGCAACCAAGATTTTCCAATTAGACTTGGACCTATAAATTGGCCTGTTAGATCTGACAGACACAAACCAATTCTACCCTATTATACAGGGTATAACACAGACCCATATTTCAATGAGCCATTTCTTGGACTGGGTATTGAGCCCCATAGGGTCAGGATTAGGTCTACCTTGTTTTGAACTTAACATATGTTATACATGTATACGCATATTATTAAATGAGAATGTTACCTCTTACCTTTTGGATATTTTTCATTGTTTACACGTAACAACCTCAAATAATAAATAATGTCTATATTTCTTATTTCTCAGGGGATATATATATATAAGTATTTTAAGACATTTTGGAAAGAGAAAACCAGGACGTCTTATTGGGTCAGATCCAGCAAGCCTTATCAAAAATAGGGCTAGCTTGATTATATCTATGTAGATCAGGAATGGGTCTATATATTTTCTTACTGTATAGGGACCAGGTCTACCTGATCCAGTGCAGATCTGATCTATTGCAGGTCTAAATTAGACTTAAACAAGCCAAGGAATGTCAGAATCCAAGGGTAACTATATTTGGAGCTTCCAACAGCCAAATGAAATTCAGATTAGTTGAAGTTTTCATTTATTTTGTTGCAAGTTTGATTGAACATATATCCATTCTCATTTTCTGCAAACAAAATTATTAATCATTCATAACAAAAATACATGTCAAATAAGTTACATGAAAATGTTGTTGAACATGATGTTACAATTTGACTAGATTTACCATGTGGTCCATCAATTTGTTTCCCAAATCTGCACTTAGAATAAAACAACAGAAATGCAAAAATTAAAGACAACATCTGATGGATAGAAAAAATATCATAGAAGAAAATGGGAATTTTTACTGACCAAGAAAAGATGAGAAAAGTGAAATTTGCAAATAGTTGGACATGGGATTTGTTGGACACAAAATCAATTTAATTCGGTATTACATCTATAGATATTGAAGCAAGGAAAAATAAATAAGAGGCAATCACTAGGTAAAAACTACCAATAGATAGAGATAAAGATTGTATTCATTATTATTTAATGGAACTAACAGAAAAAACCCTGTGATATTCCAACTCCTGTACAAGAGTGTCATATCATGTAGATACTTCCACTTTTAGTGCAAAATTCCAAAATCTTATAACATGTCCAATGAAGATAATGAAGATCACCATAATCTGACCACTGTGACTCCTCTAAGCTTTCTTCTGACTCCTAATGAACCAAGATTGCCCAATGAACAACCATCAAAGCCAGGCTTCACTGGACATTGGCATAGGTGGAGAGTGAATCTGCTGACATGGATGGTAGTTGGGGGAAAGCCCTGTAGACAACCACCATTTCAGAATAGATTCATATGATTCCCTAAAGTCTTGCCTTCTTACTAGCCAATGAGCCACTCTTATGATCAGATTTGTTATGGCTTTTACTTTCAATTATTTATCATTGCTTGATGTAATGGTAAAATCCCATGCTGTCAAGCATGAACATGGATTCGAGTCTGAGAACGGTCACTTTGTGCAAAAAAAATGCCAAAGATTAGGACTGTACCCAGCCTACCCCTCCCAAGACCCTGGATATCTGAGACCAACATTGGGTAATGGCCTTTCACTTTCAATTTCTTATCATTAAAGTTTCCTACCATTCTTTTCCTCCTAAATACTCCACAAGATAGCCTCTCTAATATATGGTGTTCTCTCTTCAGGTTTGAGAGAAGAGGATACCTGCCTTAGACAAGCTCAATATATCATTTAGGGGAGGTGGGTCCATTGGAACCTGAACAAATGAATTGCTAATACCATTGTGTCATGTAGAGTTGACTGTTAATCAAGGACATTCTCAATCCTATATCAACCTGTTTATTTGAGCTAGTCAAATATCATGCTACTTACTCTTTTTATCTATATGTAGATTGACATGGTAGGAATCTCCAATTTTGAAAATGGGACTGTTTTGTAATCATACTGGAAGCTCTAACAGGTGATTTTCTGAGAATGCAGAAAAGTCCAACCTTGGATCTTTGGTATGCTCCAAAGAACATATGGACGAGGTACTTTTTTTATTGTTAACACCTGGACAAGGTACTTTGTGATAAACAAATTGGTTTCATACTCAATGTATTGCAGGAATAGTGGATTACACTAAGCCACTAAGGCATAGATCCTCAATACAATAAGGGAAATTATCTAAGATCACCATTAACTTTACTAACAATGTCTACTGATGAGAAAATAAAACTTTATTGACAATGTCTAAAATTTCCCCCAACTTTTATATACCTCAAAGAGCCCCCTATTGGAGCTGTTCCTTTAAATGACAAAGGGAAAATGCAAAGTTACAGCACCCATCATCTATTTTGCACTTTCCAAACATGTATAGTTTGACATACTCAAAATACCCTGAATAATGGATCTTTTGCAAATGAACAAAACACCAAATACAAATGAGGGACTGTCGGAACTAACAAAATGTATGAGCATTTGGGAAGACCATTGTTAGGTGCTGGTGCATTAAATGGACATATCTGATCAGTGTTTGGATCTTGACATACCAATAGATAGGGGTGATCATTTCCAGCTCGGTGTTTATATAATATATTATCCAAAAGACACAATATATTGCATATAATATTTTATGTTGATATAAATTTAACATATATTAAATGTCATATACTATATAATGTTCTATATTAAATATAATTTACTTAATGACATACACCCAAATTCTGGTCCAGCCCAACGTGGCCCATGCCTATACCAATGGATAGTCAAATCTTTTTTTCTTTTATTTTAGATAAAATGGATAGTCAGATCAATGTTCTTCCTTGCATCTTCACTGTATAAGGCTTATTATGACATATGAGCATGACTTTGGATAAGTTGGTCAACAAAAAAAGATCAAATGGTACTAGTTTCATGACCCTACAGATAGAGGGTGTACAATCTTAGTTATAGATTTTTTTCCTATTCAGATAGAGACTAGAGAGTGTGTAAATGGATTAGTGAGCATGTGTTAGAGATATTCTTACCATGCTAAAAAGTAGATGAGATGATGTCAAGTGGATCGGGGTCATTCTTGTCCTTTAAAAATTATTTCTACATAGTGTGTGCTACTTTTATGAGACCAGAAGAAAAGACACAAGTATATGAATTATAAAACCTTCTAATAGTGGATTATTTGGAGGTTTCTAAAAGTCAGTGGAAGTTTTAGACATTCTCAAGAAAATCAGAGGAGGATTTAGATAATTTCCCAAAAATAAAAAACAGAACAAAAAGATTTGGCTCATATCTTGGGCAAAATTTGAGTGCTGATGATCACCTTAAATACAACTATCTTAACCTTCATTGATTAACATTTTGGAATTACTTGATGTTTCCATCTCCTTTACAAAAATATGTAGAACAAACATCTGGAAATGAAAATACCCAAAAGCTAAGCGTTAATCAGAACTCCAAGATTCTTAGTAACGAAACATGTAATAACCAATGCTACCTATCAAAAGGGGGCAGTGGTGGAGAAGTGTGAAAAGAAATTAGCTTCTTGGAAAAAATGCTACCTATCAAAAGGGGGCAGACTTATTCTCTTAAAGGCCTTTGTAGCTAACTTACCAATCTATTATCTTTTTGTCTTCAAAATTCCATCTAAAGTGAGTAATCTCATAGAGAAAATCCAAAGAAACTTTCTTTGGGATGGAGGAGGGGAGAATAGAAACCACTTGATAAGTTGGGATCAAGTGAGTAAGTCAAAGAAGGAGGGAGGATTGGGAGTTGGCCATTTAAAAGAGAAAAACACCTCTCTCTTGAGCAAATGGTTATGGAGATTCCCTTTAGAGTCCAATGCTCTTTGGGCAGCTGTCATCTCTAGTAAATATGGAACAAATACAAATGGGTGGGACAATAATCTTCATTTGAACCAAGTAAAGAATTTAAATCCTTGGAAAGGTATAGTCTCTTCTCACCCTTCTTTCCTTCCTTTCATTAGACTTAAAGTGGGAAATGGTAACAAAATAAAATTCTGGAAAGATCTCTGGTGGGGGAACACCACTCTAGCAGAATCCTTCCCTAGAATCTTCAATCTTTCCTTAGACCAGGATTCAACTGTCTCCTCTTGTATCCCAGATTTACCTACTAATAACAACTTGACCCTGAACCTGAGAAGACCCCTAAGGGACACTGAGATCTCAGACCTCTTGAACCTCTTTCTTTCCATAAAAGAAGTCTACACTTCCCCTCATTCCATTGACACCCGAGTTTGGACTCTCAACCCAAATGGTGATTTCTCTTCCAAATCTATGTTCAAGGCTCTAACTGCAGGTGAACAGAGTTCCTCTTTCCCTTCCAAGAAGATGTGGAGCAGCCATATTCCTCTAAGAGTTTGCTTCTTTGTTTGGGAAGCGTGCCTACAGAGAATAAATACTTGTGACCTTCAGAAAAAAAATCTGGGAAAGATCATATATTTCTCCTCATGCCTGTGTGCTTTGCCTAAGAGAAGGTGAATCAGCTGATCACCTACTCATTCATTGCAATTTCTCTCAAAAGATTTGGTGGCATTTCTTAAACCTGACTGGATACAGTTGGGCCTCTCCAAAGCATATTCAAGAGTTTCTCAATCAGTGGCATGGATCAGGTTTGAGTAGAAGAGGTAAAGTGTACTGGCAAACTGTGTTACATGCAATATTGTGGGGAATTTGGGAGGAAAGAAGCATGCGCATATTTGACAACAAAATCAGATCTCTTGAAGAATTAATTTCAGATATCTCCTTTTATTGCAATTTTTGGACTGCTAATTCTGAGCTGTTCCAAGGACTCTCTCTCAATGACCTTAACAGAAATATCCAAACGAACTTGTTTCTTCCAACCTACCCTCAACCAATCCAAAAACTACAGATATCGAATAATGAAGGAGGGATGATTTTAAACTTTGATGGAAGTGCTGCAGGCAATCCTGGTATAGCTGGGATATGGGGTATTTTGAGGGATGATCTGGGTAATATCTGTTGAGTTTTCAGTGGCCCAATAGGTAATGCTGATTCAACAAAGGCTGAAGTGATGGCAGCTCTCACTGGAATCAGAATAATAAAAAGATTGGGTATTCAGAACTTATCCACTGTAGGAGATTCTGCTAATACTATCAAATGGCTGAAGGACAAGGAGGGGGGTCCTTGGAGGTTGAGTCATTATCTGGCTGAGGCAAGAGATCCTTGGAAAATATAAATGCAAAACTGCTGTGGATACGAAGGGAGTTGTATCATATTGCAGATGGATTAGCTAAATTGGAACAAGATTAGCAAAACTGCTGTGGATACCGAGGGAGTTGTATCATATTGCAGATGGATTAGCTAAAATTGGAACAAGATTAGAAAATCTGTACAGCAACAGGCTTCCCCCTTTGTAATTTTGCTTTTCTGCTGTTTGAGTTCTCTTTCTTCTGTGTAGTACATCTGCTCATGTACTTCCTGATACTTCTAATGAAATATGGTTAACCTTTTCTCAAAAAAAAAAAAAAAAAATCCACCTTATGGATGGGTTGCTAGAAATAAATAGACCACCAATGGGACTGTTCACAAACTGATCAGATAGGCTTTACCACTAAATCAAACATCCCTTTGGACTTCTAACCTGACAATTAGCTCCGAAATCATAGTGTTCTATGACTTCTCTCAACATAGAAACTGGTAACCATTCCATGGCATTGATTTCCATTAAAATCAAATATATTCACATCTTTCTTCATGTTATTTATATGTCATTATGTCTGCCCATTGCCTACACCAGCATATTCTCAATGTGATTAACTTGGCTGCAAATCCTGCGTTCAGGATTATTTGTTGTCACAAGGTCAGGCCAGGTGGGGTTCCACACAAAACTTCATCTTGGTTTCTAATACTAAGGCTCGTTCGCTTTTCGGTAAGTTACTTACCCAGGTAAATGCAGTTACCTGGGTAAGTTTTTCCTAGGAAACACTTACCCGGGTAATTGCATTTATCTGTGTTCTTTTATTTCTCATGTAAATAAGGCAATGACCATTTTAGCCATAAAAATTCATTATTAAAAGGGGCATTTTTGTCTCATTCAAGTGTTGGCAACTTTCCCCCTAGGTGGGAAAGTTATTTACCCAATTAAGAGATGGGTCACCAAATAAACTTTCTATGGTCCCCATATAAATTTGAAAAAAGAACATGGGATTCTTGATCAATGGGAACCAAAATCCCATTGACTAACTTTCCCCTCTCAAATTCCGAAAAAAGAACGCCCCCTAAGTATTAATAATCTGAAATTATTTCTTGTACTCTTTATGCACAAAGAGTACAGGAAACAAAACAAGGGCTTGGAAATTCTGAGCAAGGGTGCTAACACTGGAACCAAGTTTTTCCGTGTTAGGTAACAAAAGTATTTTAGCCAATAAACACACCTATAAAGTTTGCCTTATATGCGAGAGCCATTCCAAGGTACATGCCGATGATGTCATTGAACGTTGAACCACTGAAACCAGATTCCCTCGTATAAGCAGATGGAAAATTGGCACGTCTGTATAAAACAGATAGAATGATTATTAATCTTACTGCACTAAAGCACGTAAGCATTTTTTTTAATTGAATCAGCAAACAAGAAAAGTATTCAGTAAGATACCCCAATTGAACAAACTCAAGTTATTTACTATCGCCAGGAGCTGGAAGTCCGTCCGAAGCTGAAGCTTGCGATAGCATCTATCAATGCGGTCGTGAACAATGCCTTGTACTTCTTCGATCCTGTGCGTGCTAACTGCCTATCTTGTTATTGAGTTCTCCAAGATTTGAGAAGAAACAAATTACACCCTTTAATTCGTTGAGAGAATAGAAAACCTAATCGAGAGGAGTGGTGATGCTTTGTGGCTATGTGAGACGGATGACAACACAGGGCCTGGAGACAGGTCACAGATGAATTCGAAGCCAGGAAGAAGATGATGATGAATATTCAATTCAATGGGCTTTAAGATGGAGGAAAGGCGGAAGAGAACTATTTGAATAATAATATATTTTGAGAAGAAAGCAGAGGTAGAGATGAATTGGTTACAGGGGTGGAGCGAGGGAGGGGGATACAGGGAGAGAGAGAGAGAGAGGAGGACCGGGGACGGGAGGTTAATTTTACACGTCCGATTTGTTTTTCCCTCCAATCAAGAAACCACGTATCTACGGCATTTGCATTGTTTACCCTCTTGATTGATGAGCGTAAAAGTTTGTATCCAAGAAATGAATGCATATTTTTCCCTCTTTTGTTCAATTTAAAACTGACTGAAAATGCAAAATTCCGCCGTTGCACAATACATACATGTTACATTACCAAACACTTGAAAATTGGAACCGCGGCATTTGCATTGTTTCCTAACGCAGCCAGAGTTTAAAATAATTACTTCATCAAACTTTAACCAACTCATGGATGCATAGTACATAAGCTTTTATAGCTTATATATATATATATATATATATGTAAATTAATTAAATTGAATCTAATTAAATTAGATAAGGTGAATTCATATTTTATGGATCAAATTCAAACAACTCTAAGTCCTCATTTGGTTCGCAGGAATAGGGGGTTTAGAATCAGAATCAGAATGAGCTATTTGAATTCCAACTATTTGGTTGTGTGGAATCAGAATCCCATTCTCATTTCTTTTGGAATGGAATTGCTCCATTTGAGAGTATGGCCATTCCTTTTCCTGTTGACTTCAATTTCCATTCTCATTTTTATCTGAACCAAACAAATTATGGAAATGGACCATTTCGATTTTGATTTTGGTGGATTTCGGTTTCGATTCTGATTCCAATTCCAACTGCGAACCAAATAGACCCTAAATGGAATTGAGTTTGAATTTAAACAATTGGATATCATTTTTATCCGTCTTTGGGCTCGGATAAGAGTGGGGCTAAAAGAAGGGGTGATCATGGATCAGGCCAGGCCTAGTACTTAGATAAGGGCTATAGCTTGAGCCCAAACCAGGGCCAAGTTTTTGGCCTATGACTTTGGACTAAAAGAAAGGGTGATTATGGATCGGGCCAGGGTCTCGAGGATGACTCTGAAGTTTTCACTAATATCCTATTGACTCGCATTGCAAACCCTGTTTGGTAGTGATAGAGGGAGATTCAAAATTTCAAGAATCTCTCTTCCATTCTTGAATGCATGGGAAGACTCCTTGTCCCACATTGTTTGGGAAAGGAGTGAAAGTAGAGTATATCTATAGTTATGCTCACTCTATGGGTAGGGATCCATAAGAGGAGAGCACTATAGATATTCCATGCATGTGAGGGGGGGTTGGGGTGCTTTTCACACACGTACGTCGAGCCGAGCTAGGCCGGGCCGGGGTGTGTGTGTGTACAGGCGATGCACCGAATCACTTTTGCTTTTTACCAGATTTGAATTTTGAATTAAATGTTTTTGTGTCTCTTCAATCAGGTGTCTCTTCGAATTTTGAATTTGTTTTTTAACTTTGAACTTTGTGTCTCTTTCTTCTTGTGCCTCTTCGAACAGGTGCACTGTTCTGAAGAGGCTCTTGTCTGAAAGGACACCTCTGTGTCCCTTTAGGTTTGAGAACACTCTATAAAAGGAGTGTTGGTTAACCTAGTCTTCACACACAATTCATTCGACAATCTTCTCTTCTCTGATTTTTTTGAGCATCAACTCTCTATGGTTCGCAGAGGTCTGGTAAGTGAGTGCACGCCTACCAGTGGCCTGTGGGTTGTTTTATCTTGGTGATCGATTTTCGATCACCCAACTGCACTGTTATGGGCCCGAGCGTAGGATCGCGTCACGGGTCGCTCCACCGTAGGAACCTCAGATCTTTCCTTGCCCTTGGCCTTGCGTACAGGCCCTATTTTGGCTATCTCAGGGGTGATTTGTCCAAGAGATCACTGAACTCTCCTTTACTCTCTTTCTTGACTGAATATTCGATATCCTCATTCAATAATAGCGTCTCCTTAAATAGGAGATTACAAGAGGAGGGTTCCTTGTTGGATTCGGCTAGGTTAGTCCTAAACGGACTCAAAACTCCTACTTCTAATTAGACTACTTACTTTTAATGGTACTATAATTCCTTCTAAGGAATAGGGGATAAGATAAGGGAGAATGGGATAAGGCGCGTTCTCTTGTCGTGTCCGGATAAGGGTGGGCCCACCCTATGAGCTGTCGTGTGGTCCCCGCTCTGCTGTTGCAGCTGGTGTGCGTGCGCGCGGCACGCGCGGTGCTGCGCGTGGTGCCGCTGCCGCGCAGTGCGTGCGCGCGGGGGGTAAATGCGGTTTTAAGGAGAGTGACCAAGTGGCACGACTCAGTCCTCTTTCTCTCTGCAACTTCTCAGTTTCACAATTCTGCAACATCACACTCCTGCAAGTTCCGGTTTGGAAAGCGATTACTGATAAGTTCCATTTTGCCTTCTTTATTATTTTTACAACAATCTTAAAACCGCATTTATGGAACCTATCTCTGCTAACCCTTTCATGAGAAATCGGATACTGTCAACGATTCCTGATTTCTCTAAGACTGAACCTTTTAATGGAATTAACTACAAGCGTTAGAGACAACGCTTTCTATTTGCCTTAGAGCAGTTAGGGGTAGCCTTTGCTCTAGCCAAACCGAACCCACTAAACATGGAGGAATCGACCCATTCTGTTGTTGCAGAACATTGGTCTACAACTGACCACCTTTGCACCAACCATATCCTCAACTACTTGTCCAATGAATTGTATAATGTCTACTCTTCCTACAATTATGCCTATGAATTTTGGAATGCTTTGGACAATAAGTATGCTTTGGAAAATGCTAGAAATAAGAAATATGTAATTGCCAACTTCTTGCACTTCACCATGAAAGAAGACATGGATGTGTCTGCCCAAATAGATGAGTTCCAGGTTCTTGTGGGGGAACTAGCAAAATAAGGCATGATACTGCCAGATGAATTCATTGTCGGTTCTCTCATAGAGAAACTACCACTTACATGGAATAATTTCAAGACTAGTATGGAGCATAAGAGGAAGGGCATTATTTTAGACCAAGTAGTAGTCTGAATTAAGATAGAAAAAAAAAAACTGAAAGAAAGATGAGGATCAGTTTTCCAAAACCAATCTGGTTGAGGAAAAGACTACAAAATTAAAAAAGAATTTGAATGTGAAAAATGATAAAAAACTCAAGAAGCAGCAAAAGAAAGGAAATTACTATGTATGTGGCAAACCTGGACATTACAAGAAAGACTGCCAATATCGAAAGATGGACTCTGGGAAACAAAAAGTCAATTTGACTAAGGATGTTATCGTAGCCATGGTGGTTGAGGCAAACTTAGTTGATAAGCCGAAGGAATGGGTACTGGACACCAGTACTACCAAGCACATATGTGGGGGCCGTAGTTTCTATGAGTATACAACTCAGTCTGAGGGAGAGTAAGTCTTCATAGGAAACTCACAAACTTCGAAGGTCATTGGCAAAGGAAAGGTGCTCCTAAAACTGACTTAAAAAAAATTCTAATGTTGAATGATGTGTTGCATGTGTGAAAGATCCGATGAAACTTGGTATCGAGAGCACTCCTCAACAAAGTAGGACTGAATCTCACATTTGAAGCAGACAAGGCCGTGTTAACTAAAAATAATGTTTTTATTGGAAAAGGATACAATGCTAGAAGATTGTTTGTACTGAATATTTCTGATATTGTTTTGAATAAAAATGCTTATTCTTTTGCTTGTATTGTTGAATCTTTTAATATTTGGCATGCTAGACTAGAACATCATAGTGCTCCTTATTTAAAACGACTATGTAAATTAGGGGTTTTGAATGCTCCTATTAACTTTACAAATGAAAAATGCCAAATATGTATAGAAGCAAAATTCACTAAGAAACCTCATAAAAGTGTACAAAGGGAAACTGAATTATTACAACTTATACATAGTGATCTAGGAGACTTTAAATATCATGAAACTAGAGGAGGAAAAAGATACTATATAACATTTACAGATGACTTCTTTAGATATGCAAAAGTAGTTCTACTTAGACCAAAAGATGAGGTCAATCAACCTTTTATAAACTACAAAACTGAAATAGAAAATCAATTAGGAAAGAAAATAAAAAGGTTTGGAACAAATAGATGGATTGAATATAATAAATAAATCATTAGAAAATTCTTTGAAGAAAATGGAATCATACATGAAACCACAACCCCCTATCAACCTGAATCTAATAGAGTTGCAAAAAGACTTAACAAAACACTAAAAAAGATGATGAATACAATGCTAATTAGTTCAAGTGCACCTCTGAATTTGTGGGGGGAAACAATCTTAATGGTTTGTCACTTATATAATAGAATACCACCCAAGAAGAAATGACAAATACCTTTTGAACTTTGGCATAATAGAAAATCTAGCTTGAATTACCTAAAAGTTTGGGGCTGCCTAGCAAATGTTGGAATACTTGAACCTAAAAAAAAAAATTAGGACAAAAAACCTATGACTATGTATTTATTGGATATGCACAAAATAGTGCGACTTATCGGTTCCTTGTAATTAAAACAATTGATAATGTTGTAGAAAACAACACAATAATAGAGTCCCGAGATGTAGAGTTCTTTAAACACATATTTCTTTGGAGAAAAGAAATAGTAAATAGGGAACTTTCCAAAATCCAAGACAGAAAGCAATAACACTTAAGTGCCAAGGAATCAATACTTATCTTAGTCAAGACAACCTCAATTATAAGAATCAAGAATCAGACCTAAGAAGTAAAAGACAAAGGAAAGAAACAAACTTGGGTGACGGAATGTTCACATTTCTAGTGGATAAGGACCTAGTAACCTATCAGGAAGCCGTAACTTCACCTAATGCAGTATTTTTGAAAGAAGCCATAAAAAGTGAGATAGACTCTTTAGTCACTAATCACACTTGAGAACTTGTAGAGCTCCCACCTGGAACTAAGGCACTAGATTGTAAATGAATTTTTAAGAAAAAAATTAAAACCAAATGGTACAATAGATAAATTCAAAGCTAGATTAATTGATAAAGGGTTTAGACAAAAGAAAGATGTAAGCTTCTTTGACACCTACTCCCCGGTTGCAAGGTTAACAACAATTAGAACTTTGTTTGCTATAGCATCCATTTACAAACTGGTAGTTCATTAAATGAATGTGAAAACAATTTTCTTAAACGAGGAATTAGGGGAAGAAATATATATTAAACAACCTAAAG